CAGCCATCTGTACATCTTCCCCAGACACTTGGCACTTGTTGCCGCAGAATTGGTTTGGACAAGTGGCTTAGCAGTCAGGTACCAGACAGGAACTGTCTCTCCTTCTCTGTGAGGCTGTCTTCATTAAATTTCACTCATTTCAGGGGAATCAATTTGGGGTATGAATTGAGGACTCAGCAAGAGTCCTGTCCCTAATGATTAAGCAGATTACTTATTCAATCTTGTGTTTATTCATTCCCTATCATTTATTGAGGGACTTTTCTTTCTTGGGCATACTCCAGAGAAGTAAGTGTATGAGGAGAATGGAGACCATCTACATTGTAGAAATATATATACCTTAACATACAGCACTAGTGGGTTTTTATATATTTTGTGGCAGTGTTCCAGATAGTTCCACCCCTGACAAATCTGTTGTTATCATCCATGTGGGCAATTAAAAGGGTTGAGTTCCCTGGTTCTTTATTTTACAATTGATTTTGCTTTGAACTCTAAGTTTTTAAGGAAGATTATAGATAGATAGATGGATAAGATAGATGATAGATGATAGATAGGTAGAATCTCTGAAAAATCTTATCAAAGACTTGTCCACTTAAATTAATAGCAAAGAAGTCAGTTATTTTATGTTTTTGGTAAGTGTCTGACCTATTTATTCATTTAGCTAAAGATGGTGAGTTGCTGATTTGTTAACCATAACTTAATTTCAATTACATTTCATAAAATTCCACAGGGATGACCCTTCAATACTGTTCCTCAGCATTAAGAATACTTTAGAAGCACATGGGCCTTTTCTCTGTTCATGTCAAGAGTGGAACATTTAAAATTTAGGATTAAAACAGTTAAACAGCTTGAACGAATATTATTCTAAGACTTCTTCTATTTCTTCTTTCCTTTGTATTGTCTTCTTTTTAAAAAATCTATTGCTCTATTTTTTCATCATTACTTTTTAGATGTAGACTTTTCATCTCTAATTCCAATCCAGAAATATGAAGCAGAAGCCAGTATTTAAAATGGATGATTACTTAAACTTTCTTGTTCTTAATTTTCACAGGTAGGTGAGATAAATGCTCTAGACTTATTTCTTGCTGGAGGCTTTTTTAATGAACCCGAACAATTTTCTGAAATGAACAACAAGAACAAAAAGAACCAGGAGAAATTTCAATAAATCCACCTTACTCCATTTATTCTATTTTGGCCTCAAATAGGTTTTATGATGAGTTGGTGTTTTTAAATAGCCTATTACTTTGATGAGAGGAAGAGAACATACTGGCATGTGATTTCAAACAAAATGTAGATTTAGATGGAAAATGATTTTTTATGATGTCATAGTAACTGTTGTACTCTTTCAACATTCTCTTCTGGGAAGAAAATAAAATGAAATGTTTTTCTTTTCTTCCTTCCTCCTTCTCTTTCTCTCTTCCTCCCCCTCTCTCTCTCAGCTCTGCCATTCCCAACCTTCCTCATCTCTTTTATCTTGTATTAAATACTTAGTACATGCCAAGATTGTGATAAGTCCTGCTGAAAATTGATGAATATAGCTTATGTCTTCAAAGAACTTACAGTATAGTTGAAAAGTTGAGAAGTCAAAAGGCAATTTTGATTCTTCATTTCAATGCCTTTCATTAAGAGGGATCTAATCATGACATTTACTGTGTGACCTTAGACAAGTTGCTTAACTACTTTGAACTTTGATGTGTTTTCTTTTTATTTAAAAAAAAAATCAAGAACTAAAGCAGCATTTATTTCCATGCAATATTGAGGGCTTACTCCACCAAAAGTGTTAGCTAGGATTACTCGTGTGTACATTAAAACAAACATTTATTGAATTCCTGCTATCTTAGTGACACTGGAGTATTTTCTCTGAGCAATGCAATGTTAATTAGACATAGGTCTACCCATGGAGCTTATGCTTTAAGCGGAGAGAAACACTTAATTAATCAAAATATGCAATACACAGAGGCACATAAAAACACTATTGAATTTTGGGATGGGAGTTATTTTGACTTGTGGGAGGCATTAAAAAGGAAGGAAGGAAATGAGCTCAGTCTTGCCAAATTACTAGTATTTAGATGTGCAAGGATGATAAAGAAGAGCGTATTTAGCAGAAGGATCAACAACATAAAATGATCTAACTTCCAACTTTCTATCCTAATGAATAATAATCCAGGGTTATGTTTAATTTTTGGTTATTTTAAAGAGTATTAATGTGAAGTAAACTTGAGTATTATGTCATGACAGTTTTGTAGGCTTTAAATGTCAGGCTGAAGAATATAAAGGAGCCTCATTGAGAGACTTGAAGGAAGTGGAAGGAAAGAAAAAAAATCAGAGAAGTGCATTGTTTAAAAATATTTTGAACTTGTTTTAAAGTGTGTTGGTCTAAAAGAAGGTTTCTGTTACATTGTTCTCTTAATAAATTAAGTAGTAAGGATTTGAACTGCCATTTAGACCATGGAATAGGAGGGAGGAGGTGAATGAGGAAAATACTGAAGATCAAAAGTACTAAGAAAGTGGTTAGATTGGAACGTGGGGTATGTGGAGCAAGGAAAATAAGACAATCATTGGGCATCTGAAAGTTTATTATCCATGGGAATGGTAATCGCATTAACAGAAACAGCAGGGATTAGAGTGGTGTAAAAAACAGGTAGGTTCCATTTTGGCTGAGTTTCAGGTGTAAGAAGAACAGTCATGTAGTAATACTTAGCAGGCAATTGGAAATACAGGGCAAAACTGAGGTCAGATTTAAAGATATGAAAGTAAGTATCATCTACCTTGAATTAAAGCAATTAGCCTTATAGAATGCTAAGGAAGAAAGAGCAAAAGTAAGAAGAAAAATAAATTTAAGGACAAAGATAGAGCTAATAATCTTGAGAGAGTAAACTTAAGTCAAAGAGAGAAAAAAAGAAATAGAGAAGTTGAAAGAGAACCAGAAAAGCTATTTCATGTACATGTTTTTGTCTTTTTTTTTTCCTAAGGAAATCATGTAAGGAGTTGTTATATGAGGCAGGGGAGTTCAACATTTTGTAGGATAATCCAATGTGGTTTGATAGTGGAATGATCATAAATTGTTACAGAGAAGCACAGAAACGTACCAACGAGGTAGACATGTGAGTCTTGTTAATAGAAGGGTTAGATAACAACACTGGGGTAAACAGGGGGGTAAGGCAGCAAAACTAATTATGGGGGAACTCTGTGGTCTGAGTTTAAAGAGAAAAGAAAGAATGGGAGTGATTTTTTTCATGGTTGTTTTAGAGATTAGTGGGTTTAAAATATTCAGTTTGTCTATTGGGCTTCCCTATGCTTCTAAGGAACCAAGGCAGATATTTAGTCTTACAGATATTGCTAGATGTATGGATAGTGCCTTGGCTTAATATTTTATTTAAATGTTCCTGCTTGCTTCACCCTATTTTTTCACTTATAAATGTTTTTACTCTATCTTTATAGTCCAAGATGCCATTTTATATCAATATTCTAAATAACATGTCTTCATAATTTGTTATTTTTATCAATTCACTCAAAGCTGAGGTCATAGCATTTAGCTTGAACCAGCCCTGGTTGTGGTTGTTGTTTGTGTTGTTTTTGAAGCCCATTCCTACTCAGTTTTCATTTAGAGGTGAGGACTCACCCAGCCTGCACCAGCTGTATTGTACAGGGGTGGTGCAGGTGGGGTCCTACCTCAGGACAGTGTGGAGTGAAAGGCCATAGCCATAGGAAGGCATGTGCTCCATCTTGGGGGCCCTTTACTCAGCTAATGCGGATTGGTTGCTCATTCAGTTTATTTCACTATAATATATGCCCTGGGAAAACCTGTTCTCTCTTTCCAAGACAACTTTGAAGAGATTCAAAACCATCTGTAAGAATTGATACAATTTTATCAAGCTACATACAGAAGAGGTGTCTACTTTCTTCATCATAGAAGATTATACATGTCCTTAAAAGGAGAAAAACAAAGCAGAATGTATTTATATTTTCTGAATTTTCCCAGAGGAAAAAAAAAACTTTGCTAATTTGCATCAGTTTATTTTGTCCAGTTTTCTTGTTGGTCTGTGTGTGACTAGAGGGCACCTGACTCGGATGCTCTTTAGAATTAGGCAAGACATGAGGCCAGCTGTGGCTTCTTTCTATTTAGGTGTGCTTCTCAAGAGCAGCTTCTATCAAGCTCCAGTTTCGCTATCTCCCTAACATAAGTATCTTTAGCCAGACCAAGGCTTGCCTTGAGCAATGACATTCTATAATGCTCTAATTGTCCAACATCCCTGTGAAAGTTGACATGATGTTATGAATGCCTCTATGCATGCATAACTTTTGCTGTCTTAATTCTTTATTACTATAGTGATGTATATTATATTAAGCCTAAACTCTAACCCTGTTGCCTATGCAGATTTCTCATGCTCTGTGTTTGCCAGTAAATATAGCATTGGTGGAAAAAATTCAGGGGTCATAAGTAAGACCTGAGTTCTGGATTCATGTGTTTTATTTTGGCTAAAATTTGGTATTCTGAGTCTTAGTTTCTCCTCTGCAAGATGAACATGTTTGATTTAGATAATCTCCAAGGACTATAGCCAGATCAAGACTTGGAGTCTTCAGTTGTCAAATGATATGTCAATCCTTCAAACTGATAATCTTAAGTTTTTCATCATGTATTCAGTACAGCTAAGGTTAAAAAGATCAATGTGCAAGGAACTTTTTTCTTCTACTTGATATCCCTGTCCACGTTGGCTACATTGAGATCAATTTATATTTTGCCAGTATACAAGGTTAATTGGTCCTCTATTTCAAATAACCCCGTGCCCTGTTTCAGGATACTTTGAAGATTAATGCTGAAGACTATGCTAGTTGTGACAAGGACCTTTGATTCTGTCTTATTTCCATACACCTAACTTAACTGTCTGTGTCCTTTCCAGCCTGTATCCTCCTGCCCAGAATGTTCTTACCATTATTCTCCTCCCTGTATCCTAAAGACCCAACATTGTTTCTTGGTCTCAATACAAAATGAGGTGTTCTCAACTCTGTTGCTTGTCTCTTTGCAAACTTTATTTTACAGTGATTTGTTTATTTATACATATATTTTAATGACATTTAATAATTTTTAAATGTCAATGTTAATATTGTGAACCTAGAGGAATTAAATTCTATTTGGTTTTGTGACAATATTGTGACAATAATTCTGTCTGTATCATAAAGCTCAATGGTTATAACAACAATATTTTCCATTCATACATGTGTAGATCATCCAGAGGACCCTGCTTAATCTGCAGGTCTTTGAGTTGGCTGGAGCATTTCTGTACTGTGTACCATATGTTGAGGACCATTGGATAGTGGAAAAGGGGCTGTTCTTATCATGGCGATGACAGAAGAACAAACACAATTCAAAGTTCTGCTTAGGTCATTTGCACTATATTCCATTGTCCACACCAAGACACAGAGCCAAATCCAAAGATGAGGGATATGAAAGTATGTTCCTGTCACCATGAATTGTTGAAAAGAATAAGGATGTATAAATATAGTATAAATAATGAAGAATTAACATTACAATTTCAGTCTACTATAGTACTTTTTGAATGTTGTAGAATGAATGCATATGCATGAATAAATTCAAAATTATAGTTGACTTGATAGGGATATTGATTAATAAGTGGGAAAAGATCATAACAAAGTGCTAATCCGAACTGCAAGTGGTGCTAATGTCTGAGGCTGTTCATTAACTAATAAAATAGAATCCAAGTGGCACGACCCAGCCATACCCCATGGCAGCAAGAAGGATTAGACAATGGTCATGTCTATTGTGATTTATTTCTTAATCCAGGCCTAAGTTCAGGCCAAACTGGCCTTTCTCGGATTCTGACAGCAATTATCTGTAAGACAGAAAAGGAAAGAAGAGGTCATTCTGTTACCTGCATAAATCCATGACAATGGGGGCAGGAAGTGATTCCTTACTATTTTCACTAGCCTTCTGAGAACTCCTTCCCTCCTTACTTCCTCAAATTTTCACTGGAATTAGTTATCAAGTTATGATGTTTCTGTTGGCTAAAGCAAAGACTGATATACATCTTAAACCCATAATCCCTTTTATTCAAAAATGGAGAGAAGATATCACGTTAGCAAGTAAACTAGGTTGGGATGGAGGGATAATCTCAGACAAAGAAGTACATGTTAATCATACAAAATGACCATGGAAGGTTTTAATATCTTATATGTTTACAGAAAGAACATGAGAACCTCCCATGAAAAAGGTATCATGGATATGTGTGGGCTGGAGTGAAGTCTTATGTGAGCTTATTAGAAAGTCAGTATTCTAAGAGAAAGAGAATGGAGGAGTAAAGAGATTTGTGAATTCAGAATCAATCAGGAGGGAGCAGGTTGGGAAAACAGCTACCAGGGGAATCAGAATCTAAAACAGAAGTACATGCTAGAGGGACGCACAAAGCTCCAAAAATAATCCTAACCACAGTCGGCTGAGTTAGTGCAGAGAGGCAGGTGACAACACCCGCAGCTTCAGACAGAAGCCAAAGGAGGTTCACCTAGGAAACAGTACTGCTGTAACGTGTCCCAGAACTCATATGTTGAAACTCAGTCACCAACATGATAGTATTAAGAATAGTGGCCTTAAGGTGATTAAGTCTACCCCCAAGAGGGATTAAAGGCCCTTATAAAAGACTGAGGGGGTGGGTTTCTTCCTCCCTTCCACTTTTTCTCCATTGGGGTTCAGTAAAAGGGCCCTTTTCAGACACTGAAGGTTAGTGCCTTGATTTTTCACTTCTCATCCTCCAGACCCATGAGAAACACATTTCTGGTTTTTATAAATTTCCTTGTGTTTTAGTTTAGATATGAGGTGTCCCCCCAAAAGTTCATGTTACACAATGCAGGAATGTTCAGAGGTGAAATAATTACATCATGAGGACTATAACTGCATCAGTGGATTAATCAATTTCATGGATTAATAATTTGAATGGCTTCCTGGGTGGTAACTATAGGCAGGTAGGGTGTAACTGGGGAAAGTGGGTCATTGGAGCTGTGCTCTTGGGGATTATATTTTGTCTCTGGCCTGCCCTCCTCCTCCCCTTGCTTTTTGACTGCTATAAAAAAAAAAAAAAAAAAAAAAAAAAAAAAAAAAAGCACCTTTCCTCTAGCACTTCACTCTTCCATGATGTTAACCATGGACCCATGGACCAAAGCTGTGAGCTCAAAATAAAATGTTTCCTCTTACAAATTGTTCTTGTCAGGTATTTTGATCACAGAAACAAAAAGCTAACTAACATACCTGGTCTCAGACATTTTGTTATAGTAGCACAAATGGACTAGGGCACCACAATTTTTCCAGAGTATAAAAGGTGGATGCATGCCTTGTTTTGACAGAAAGAGGCTGAATTAGTATATTCCAAAGTCCTAGGAATCCAATCTCTGAGTGCCTGTGCTTTAGGAAAAACAGCCAGTACACAGAAGCCTATAACCAGGTGGGCTGCTGTAAGACCTGTGGTATTGTAAGCGATGGGAGATACATTAGTGATTTTTTTCCTTTTCTTTACAGTTCATATGTCAATATGAACCTGATATTCTGAAAATTTATGAACCAAGTAGGGAATGCAAAACCACAGAAAAGAAAGTGAGGGAAGGCATTGAGCACCCAGAATGTCAGTATCTTTCTTTCTTCTTATGCTAACTTTTCCTCTATATTTTGCTATTAAAAAAATAGCCATAGTATTTCTTCCCTGTCCCTCAGGATTTTTTGAAAAGTGATTTATAAATTATTACAAAGCACTTGGAAAGGGTAAAGCACTTAATAACCTTCTAAACCAGGCCAGGCACGGAAAATTTGCTATATGTTGTGGGGAATTTCTAAGTTTTTGAGTCCCAATGAGACTGTGAAAAGACTGATACTTTTTTCCTTTATGTGAACTTTAAGTTACTATGTGCATAAATAAGTAAAGTAATGCTATTTGACTTTTTCCAGACAGAGGAATAGAAATTCAGAGTTTTGCTTACATGCATTCTTTGTGCTTTTACCTACACATCTCTTGAGCCTCATCTTTAAGTATTTACTCATGGGGGGAAAATAACAAAAACAAAAAAGTAAAACATAAAGATTTTTTAATACAGTTATTTAATAAATATACTTCTCTTTGACTATACGTATCTTTGACTGTATTTATTCATTAAAATAATCCATAAAGAAAAGCAAGAATGGGTAAGGATCCAATAATCAATCAACAATAACCGTCTGAATATTGTAAATCTGTTCAGTAGTGGTCCAGACACCTTGGAGGAGACTTAAGTATAAGACAAGCCTCTTGTGTCCAGAGAACTTACAACTCAGTAATGAAGACAGAATAAATACATGTGCAATGAAGTGAAAAAAAAATAATAAAGTTTGGTGTGGTATTGGTTGTGTGTGCACCTCTTTGTATGTATGTATGTGTTTGTAAGCAAGTTCCTGACACATGACATGGATAAGAACTTCTTTTCTAGTTTTAGTATCATAGAATGAAAGAGAGAGGTTCATATGTCAGAAAGTTCTTTGCAAAGTTGGTTCATCAGCAATATTTGAAGTAAGGATGTTTTGCATTATAGATATGGGACTATGTGTGTTAGGGAACATTGGAAATAGGGAATGCATAACAAAACAAAAGTTGTTAAGATTTTATAAATTACTTAGTTGTTTTTAACAGTGACAAAACCTCAAGTATATGATGCTTTTCTGCATTAATACTAAAGATCTGAGGAAAACTTTGTATTTGCTTTGCTGGACTTTAAATAAAGTCAACTGTTTGGGGGTAGGTTGATTTAGATAATTTTAAAGTAGGCCTTATTATTTACCTAAAATTTGTCAATTATTCCAAAATGTGGAGGCATACATACAGTGAAAATTAAACACAGTGAAAATTAAAAACAGTTTAATTTTGGACCCAATCTTCTGTCTTTCCAAGCTTGTCTTGCCTCACTCCATCTGCCATGTCCCACCTGCTTCCTCTGTCTCATAAAAATGTCCTGTTTCTTTACTATTTCCAAACATGCGTACTTTATGTCCATGTCTTTGTCTTTTTTCTTATGCAAATTCTTATACCTGGAATGTTTTTTCCTTCCAAGCATAACTCAATATCCATAATGTGTTCTTCAAGGACCAACACAGACAACAACCTTTCTGATACCTCTTTGCCACCCATTATTCTGGGCAGAATCAAACACACTATTTCCTGGAGTCCCTAGTACCTGGAACATATTTGTATTATATTACTTACCAGATTGTTTTAAGCCTGTACAATTAGTTGTTTACATACCTTTCCCTGCACTCTAGACTTAAGCTATTTTCCAGGCAGGCATTCTATTTTTCCAATTTTGAGTTCCCAGAACATATAGTATAATGTCTGGAAGTTAGTAAGAGTTCAATAAATTTAAAAAGGCTAAAAGAATATTTGTTTTCAATGAGTCATTATAGTCTAGAGATGAAAAAAAGAAAGATAGGTCATCTCAGATTAGTATTCATACCAGTTTGGAAATTCACTTTCTATTTTAATCTCTCTGTCTTTCTTGAAACTTCTAGCTAAAAAAGCAAATCTTTCTAGGTCATAGGATTGGCAGGCTGGCTGTGACTGCCTTGATGTTTTTTGGAAAATAATTGATAGGCATGTGCATTAGTCAGCTTTTCATCGCTGTGACCAAAATACCTGACCAGAAAAACTTACATGAGGAAAAGTTTATTTTGGTTCACCATTTCAGAGGTTCAGTCCATAGTTAGCCGAGTCCATTGCTCTGGGCCTGAGGTAAGGCAGATAGCATGGTGGAAGGATGTGACAAAGGAAATCAGCTCAGCTCACGTCAGTTCAGAAGAGGAAAGTCAGAGATACAGTGAGGGAAGAAGAAAGTTTAAGGCACTAGGGACTAAATATGAACCCCAAATCATGTCCCCAGTGATATACTTTATTCCATCACACCCTAGCTGCCTAAAGTTATCATCCTTTCAAATTATTATTCCATCAAATGGATGAATCTACCTATTAGGTTACAGCTTCCGTAATATAATCATTGTATTTGTGAACATTTCTGCATTGTCTCACATAAACTTTTAGAGGGTACCTCATACTCAAATTGTAACAGTACCATTGAAGAAAAGGCAAGGGAAGATAATTTTCAACTGAGTGAATGAAGAATATGTCTCTAAGATATGTGTGTGTGTGTGTGTGTGTGTATCTGCATTTGAAAAAATTAAAACAAAAAATTTCCTCCTTACATCAACATTTAAACTACAATTAAGTTTTATTCATTTTAGGCACCATTGAGAGTATTCATTCTCTAAGTCTTTGATTTTCTCACCTTCTACTACTTCCCGCATTTTGATAACTTCATTATTCTTTATGTACCAGAAGATCAGTAATACTAGGGGGAAAAAAAGAAATGTTGAAATTTTTTCAGTGAAAGAAACATTTTAAAAATTTATTGGTGTATTGTAATTATACATATAAGTATGATTCATTGTTACATATTCATGCATGCAGTGTAATTAATCAGTTTCACTCTCCAGTACCTTTTCTTCCTTCCCTTTCTTCCTCCCTTTGATCTCCTTTCTCTACTCTATTGATTTCCCTTCTGCTTTATGAGATTTCCCCACACCTTTCCCCCCTTTTTTTCTCTCTAGCTTCCACATATACGAATAAGTATACAGCCCTTGATTTTCTGAGTTTGACTTATTTTGCTTAACATAGTATTCTTATGCTTCATCTATTTTCCTGCATATGAAGTACTTTCATCTACTTTATGGCCGACTAAACTCCATTGTGTATCTATACCATGTTTTCTTTATCTATTCATCAACTGATGGACATCTGGGTTAGTTTCAGTTTGGCTATTGTGAATTGTGCTGCTATAAACATGCTGTGCATGTATTGCTATAGTACTATGACTTTAATAAAAGATTAAAATTAATTAATGACTTTTTAAGAATTTAGTCTAGACAGATATTTGGGGATTTTAATGTATTCATTAATAATTATGTTCATGGCCTCATAATCTCTTTGATGATAGCTATAATTTAAATGATATTTAAATACTTTTTACTTTTGGTACTTTTTAAGGTGGGCATTTTTATTTTTTGTACCGACCATATACCCAGGTATCCTAGAAAAATTGCATCTCCAGGTTTGATAGGTATCTCAAAAATATTTTAAATCCAAATCCTGCTGGTCTTATGGGATACTTAATCCCAAGTAGCAGTGATTTGGGGACTTCAATATGGTTATATCAATCTTCCAGAAACATATAGGCATTGATGCCACAGATATTGGAGATTTGGAGGGACAGTCTTCCATCTGGGCATCAATTTTTATATTTTATCAAGCAGACATCCATTTTCTCTGCTCACATGGTCCATTCAGTTCCAACTTCTGCCATTTCTGTGTTATGATTGGGGAAGAGGAATTTTGGTAGAGAGGAGCAAAGACTCCTGACCACATGCAGGTATTCCACTCTGAGCCTTGCTGCCTAATAGGTGGAGCCAGGAAGCATCCCTCAGGTCCAGAACAACACCTCTCTTGTCCCTTGCTTCTCTTATCATGGGGAATCACTTTTTAGTTGAAAGAATTCTTTCTTTTTTAAGTTTCTTAAACTCATTTGCATCTATCCATGATCCTTTTTTTTCTTCTGTACCTTAGGTTTGGGGAATAAAAACTGAGAAACATTTTGCAGGAAGCTGCTTTAGCTGTTTTCTTCTGTGCTGTGTATGGTCTCCACAGTAATAAGCAAAGAGTTTCTCACCTATCTGAATTAGGAGGAAGAAAAGGTAAAAATAGAGGGGAAATTATCTCAAAAGACTATCCAGCTATAATAAATATAAATATTGCTAAATGGAAGAATGAATTTATTTCATACTCAGAATCACCAATCAATTGCAGACTCTTTCCTCCACAACCTGTATTTCTCTGAAAATGCAACCATTTGGCTTCCATGAAAAAAATCAAGCAAACAAGGAACTGAACTTGTATCAATTTCATTACTTACATTTGTTTAAAATACAACCAATGATGTGTGAAATTATATAATTATTATATGAATATAATTTGTTAATTAATATTTTCACTGCAAGTTAATTGGAAAGTTCTTGCTTGGAAAATTTTTACATTTATTTTCACTCCTTAGGCAACACATATTTCTCACTATTGCACATGTTTTGAGCCAAAATCATGATGCCTGTCTTGGCAAATGGAGCACTATAAATCTAATGATCAATCTTTCATTATGACTGCTCCTATTAGAAACATTGGGTTTTGAAGGAAGGTAAACACACACACACACACACACACACACACACCAAAATTTTGATATCTAAAAGAAAAATTATAATGAAAATATCTTCCTTAAGAGGAACTCAGAAAACTATCTCATAGTTTTTCAGACAAGGAAATTAAGTATGAAGATAATTTTTTGAGTCAGATAACTTGTAAAATTTAATTGTACCAACTTGACTGGCCTAAGAGATGCCCTGACACCTGATAAACTATGATTTCTGGGTATATTTTTGAGGGTACCTCCAGAAGGGTTTGACATTTGAATTTAGATTGAGTAAAGATGACCTGGCCTCACCAATGCAGGTGGGCAGCATTTGATCCACTGAAGATCTGGGAAAATGAAATGACCAAGAAAGGGTGAATTGGCTTTTTGCTTGAAAAGGAACACATATCTTTCCCAGCCAACATTGATATTGTTGGTTTGGGGGCTTTCAGACTCAGATGGGTACTTGTACTGTTGTCTCCCTTGGTTCCTAGTCTTCAGGTGTGGACCTGTAATTACAATACTAGTTTTTTCTGAACTACCAGCTTTCTTTTTTTTTTTAATTTTTTATTGTTGGCTGTTCAAAACATTACATAGTTCTTGATATATCATATTTCACAATTTGATTCAAGTGGGTTATGAGCTCCCATTTTTACCCCATATACAGATTGAAGAATCACATCAGTTACACATCCATTGATTTACATATTGCCATACTAGTGTCTGTTGTGTTCTGCTGCCTTTCCTATCCTCTACTATCCCCCCTCCCCTCCCCTCCCCTCCCCTCCCCTCCCCTCCCCTCCCCTCTTCTCTCTCTGCCCCCTCTACTGACATTCGTTTGTCCCCCTTATATTATTTTTCCCCTTCCCCTCACTTCCTCTTGTATGTACTTTTGTATAACTCTGAGGGTCTCCTTCCATTTCCATGCAATTTCCCTTCTCTCTCCCTTTCCCTCCCACCTCTCATCCCTGTTAAATGTTAATCTTCTTCTCCTGCTCTTCGTCCCTACTCTGATCTTAGTTGCTCTCATTATATCAAAGAAGACATTTGGTATTTGTTTTTTAGGGATTGGCTAGCTTCACTAAGCATAATCTGCTCTAGTGCCATCCATTTCCCTGCAAATTCTATGATTTTGTCATTTTTTAGTGCTGCGTAATACTCCATGGTGTATAAATGCCACATTTTTTTTATCCATTCATCTATTGAAGGGCATCTGGGTTGGTTCCACAGTCTAGCAATTGTGAATTGTGCTGCTATGAACATCGATGTAGCAGTATCCCTGTAGTACGCTCTTTTAAGGTCTTCAGGGAAAAGTCCAAGAAGGGCAATAGCTGGGTCAAATGGTGGTTCCATTCCCAGCTTTCCCAGGAGTCTCCATACTGTTTTCCAGATTGGCCGCACCAGTTTGCAGTCCCACCAGCAATGTACAAGAGTACCCTTTTCCCCACATCCTCTCCAGCACTTGTTGTTGTTTGACTTCATAATGGCTGCTAATCTTACTGGAGTGAGATGGTATCTTAGGGTGGTTTTGATTTGCATTTCTCTGACTGCTAGAGATGGTGAGCATTTTTTCATGTACTTGTTGATTGATTGTATGTCCTCCTCTGAGAAGTGTCTGTTCAGGTCTTTGGCCCATTTGTTGATTGGGTTATTTGTTTTCTTATTGTTTAATTTTTTGAGTTCTTTGTATACTCTGGATATTAGGGCTCTATCTGAAGTGTGAGGAGTAAAAATTTGTTCCCAGGATGTAGGCTCCCTATTTACCTCTTTTATTGTTTCTCTTGCTGAGAGAAAACTTTTCAGTTTAAGTAAGTCCCATTTGTTGATTTTTGTTATCAACTTTTGTGCTATGGGTGTCCTATTAAGGAATTTGGAGCCCGACCCTACAATATGTAGATCGGAGCCAACTTTTTCTTCTATCAGACGCAGAGTCTCTGATTTGATATCTAGCTCCTTGATCCACTTTGAGTTAACTTTTGTGCATGGCGAGAGGAGGGGATTCAGTTTCATTTTGTTGCATATGGATTTCCAGATTTCCCAGCACCATTTGTTGAAGATGCTATCCTCCCTCCATTGCATGCTTTTAGCTCCTTTATCAAATATAAGATAGTTGTAGCTTTGTGGATTAGTCTCTGTGTCCTCTATTCTGTACCATTGGTCCACCCTCCTGTTTTGGTACCAGTACCATGCTGTTTTTGTTACTATTGCTCTGTAATATAGTTTTAAGTCTGGTATCGCTATACCGCCTGATTCGCACTTCCTGCTTAGAATTGCTTTTGCTATTCTGGGTCTTTTATTTTTCCATATGAATTTCATGATTGCTTTATCCATTTCTACAAGAAATGCCGTTGGGATTTTGATTGGCATTGCATTAAACCTATAGAGAACTTTTGGTAATATCGCCATTTTGATGATGTTAGTTCTGCCTATCCATGAACAGGGTATATTTTTCCATCTTCTAAGATCTTCTTCTACTTCTCTTTTTAGGGTTTTGTAGTTTTCATTATATAAATCTTTCACCTCTTTTGTTAGGTTGATTCCCAAGTATTTTATTTTTTTTGAGGATATTGTGAATGGAGTGTTTTTCCTCATTTCCGTTTCAGAAGTTTTGTCGCTGATATACAGAAATGCCTTTGATTTATGCGTGTTGATTTTATATCCTGCCACTTTGCTGAATTCATTTATTAGTTCTAGTAGTTTTTTTGTAGACCCTTTTGGGTCTTCTAGGTATAGAATCATGTCATCTGCAAATAGTGATAATTTAAGTTCTTCCTTTCCTATTTTTATGCCTTTAATTTCTTTCGTCTGTCTAATTGCTCTGGCCAGTGTTTCGAGAACTATATTGAATAGAAGTGGTGATAGAGGGCATCCCTGTCTTGTTCCAGATTTTAGGGGGAATGCCTTCAATTTTTCTCCATTGAGAATGATGCTAGCCTGAGGCTTAGCATAGATAGCTTTTACAATGTCGAGGTAAGTTCCTGTTATCCCTAGTTTTTCTAATGTTTTGAACATAAAGGGATGCTGTACTTTGTCGAATGCTTTTTCTGCGTCTATTGAGATGATCATATGGTTCTTATTTTTAAGTCTATTGATGTGGTGAATAACATTTATTG